ATTAGATGTCTGTGGACCAGAGAGAGGTGGCTGAGATCCGTGAACATGGACTACTCCCATTCAGTCCCCTCCCCTTCCTTCACAAACTGTGGCACAACCCTCTCTCCGAGTCACAAAAACCAGAGTCCAAGAACGGGGCTCTCTTTCCCTCACCCGCCAGTCAGCTGACACTGGAATCTACAGACTGTGCCTCTTCCGTAACCAGAACCTGGAAATGAACAAGAGGACGAGGCTGCACCATGAACATCGCAGGTTCAGCACAGCTCTGTCTGAGGGCAGATGCAGGGGTATCAGTGTAAGCCCTTCAAACGTTTCATGTCCAAGGGGAGCAAGTGAGTTCACATGTCCGTGATCAGTGAGTGACCCCTCGTCCCTTCCTACGCCACTGTGGGGAAAACTCTTTGTCAATGGTGTGAAAAATGGAGAAACATTCTTGGCCAAAATTACTAAGCCATTAAAAAAAAGCCAGCATAAAACAGAAATGCAAAGGGGTTAAGAAGAGACTGGGGTCCGAATCAAAAGCAGAGTCAATCCTCAGAATTCATGGGGAATGGAATTCAGGAGCTTAGCACACCCCAAAAGCTGTGGAAGCTCTTGAGTCCCATGTTAAACAGGGTGTCGTGTTTGCATGGAGCCAAACACATCCCTCACCTGCTCCAGTCATTTCTGATACTTAATACCAACACTGTCTAGACAACAGTCATGCGCGTGAAGTGAGGAATGGCGGCAGGACTCACATTGTCCATTGGGCGGAATGTGTTCCTAAACAGTTTTGAGCTGCATCCTGTCGGCTTCCTTATCACTGCGGACTCTCTAGCCCACTTCCGCAGCCTCTAACATGCCTCATTTTGTCACCCGCGTATATGCGCACAGACACATAGACACATTTACCGTGTGCTGTGTGACGTGAGAGCTCCTGTGAATAATCCAGATGAGAACAGAAGAACCCCCATTCTCCTCAGCCAAGCTACCAGGGTGGGTGGATTAGATGACAAATTGCCGTCACTGAAACCCCTACATGCTGTGGATTCTGACACTGAGGAATGACACAGACGCGTTCATCTGTTTCTGGCAGTGTGCTCCAACGCAGCCATGCGCCAATCCATCCACTCGAGGTGGGGCTAACCCTGCCTGCCTGCCTGCCTTTCGAAAGGTCATCTAGAGAGGCATAGCTTTTCCTTTTTCCTGGCTTTTCGCTGCTTTCCTTTCTTCCAGGCACTGGGAATGGCCTGGTCCTGCTTTCTTCCACACTCTGGGCCTCTTCGCTCTTTTCTGAAGCTCCTCCCCCTCCCTTCCCAGTAAAGCTGCTTGTCTGCCCTGTGGTTGGTGTGCCCTGCTGACCTCCATTCTGACTCACATCCCTGGCTCCTCTCTTCCTTGTCTCCATCTCCCTTTCCAGGCAGCCGTCAAGATTTCCATCTGAATGCCCTGCTCTGTCCTTTCTAATTTTGAAACATATTTAAAATGTTTTATTTTATGTATGGGTGTTTCACCCTCATGTAAGTCTGTGCACCCTTGCATACCTGCCTGAGGCACATGCAGGCCAAGAGAAGACATTGCAGACATCGGAAATAAACTTATAAAGGGTTGTCAGCTGCCTTGTGGGTGCTGGGAATCAAACCTGGGTCCTCAGGAAGAACAGCCAGTGCTCTTAACCACTGAGCCATCTCTAAGGTTCCTTTCTTTTTCTTTTTCTGACAGGGTCTCACTGTGTAGCCCTGACTGGCCTTGAATTTGCCATGGACATCAGGCCGACCTTGGACTCACAGAAATGTGCCTGCTAGTTTGGCATTAAATGGGTGTATTACCACCTCAGGCCAGCCCCTGTATTTGATTCCCAGCACTGGAGAGGGATTCAGAAGACAAAGAAATCTAATGGAAAGCAGAAAATATGGCTACACCTTGGAATCATTGAGACCTTTGTTCAAACGATGGTAAACCCCATTCACAAATTCTAATTTAATTGTTCTGTAATGGAATGCAAGCATGGGCAACTTTTAATCACCTATTGGTGCTAAAAATAGGCAGTTGTCATGGTTAATGGTGTCAGTTGGAAAGACTCTAGAATCTCCCGTGACAGGCCACAGGCACACCTGTGAGGGCTTATCTACGTGGGGGCAGCCTCAGAGAATGTCTGGAGATATTATCTTGGTCACTTAGTACAAATGACAAGACCCATCTCCAGTGTGGGTGGAACTGCCCCCTGGCCAGGACTTCCTGGACTGTGCAGATGGAGAAAGCACACTTGGCACTGTGGACGGTGGGTGTCATGTGACCAGCTGTGACCTTCCCACCCTCAGGGACTCTACCTTTGAACGTGAACTGGATAAACACGCTGTCCCTTACGGTGCTTTTCTCAGTACTCTGCTAACGGGCCCCCACCCTGCAGACCTCAGCACACAGCTGCCCCTTCAGCTCCTCTAGCCCCTCCCCCCTCCAGTAATGGGCCGTTCTAACCGGCTGACTGGCACCCACTTTTACCCCCCTGTTACTCACTCCCGCTCCACTATGGGACCCCCTCCATCTCTCTCTACCCATTCCAACCTGGCCACAGTTCTCCCTTGGTGAGGGGTTGTCGGGGTGCATGCAATGGTTAAGGTACATGTCTCCTTTTCATTAAGTGAACTCTCTCAAATAGAGAAAAAAAAAAAACCACCTGGGGTCTTATATGTCTAACTCTACTTCTTTCATTAAAGAATTCCAATATATCACCCGACCATATAGTCTCACCTTCCATGATTATATATGGATATCATATATCACCTTCATATACATATACATACATTATATATAATTATATATATTATTATAAATATATATTATATATATAAACATATATTATAATATATAATATTATATATATAATTATATATAATGTATGTATATGTATATGAAGACCTCAGGTCAGGGTCCTCAGCTGCAGCCACTAAGAGCCCTATACCCCCCTTGAAAAGGAAAGCTCCCCCATTTCCCCGTCTCCTCTGCATCCTCCGAAGCTTCTCCCCCAGAGGCCGGCTTCTGTACCCTCTCCCCCTTTCCTTCTCCCCCAGTAAATCTCCCACATGAATTCTGTGTATGGTGTGACTCTCTCCTGCCACTAAACTGCAGCACACAGCACCCAGGTCATCCAGAAGATGAGGAAAGTCTCCCCAAGGGAGAGTGCCCCCAAGGGAGAGTGCCCCCAAGGGAGAGTGCTCATGTCGGTAATAGAGGCAGAAGGGAAGGCGTTAGGATGAGTCCTGGAAGTGTGGTTCTCTCAGGGTTGCCCAGCCTGGGTGGAAGGAGCCTCCTTCAGGGCTATCTCAGGCAACTCTTTTATAGTTATGAAGAGTGTGGCTAGGTCTGGGAAGAAGAGGTCCCCTCTGTAAACACACAGGAAGGAGGGAATAAATAGTCAGTGGGCCCAGGATCTCCTGCAGAGCAGGACCTGCAGTAGAACACTGTAGGAAACCTTGGAGTCGCCTTAAGACACCCCAAGACCAAGTTCTCAGCACAAAGATTTATTTGCCCCAGAGGGACAGAGGGCAGGGAACAAGAGATAAAGACAAGAGACAGAGGACAAGGGAGAAGGGGCAGGGGCATTTGTCCTGAGGGGGGGGACGACAAAGGACTGCCTCTGGATAGAGAGGAGGCAGATGTGGCCCATAGGAAAGATGGTGGTTTATTAAAGGTAAAAGGGGAAACCCTGTGTTAGGATGAGGTGTTTAATTTTAACTGGGCGTGGTAATTAGGGCAGCCAAAGGGGACTTTGATTGCTGGATTCAACACTTTGATAGTTGGACCTTGGTAGTCAGCCTCAGGAGGAGGAAGGGGCCAAATAAGGGACTAGGCCTTGGTGTCCAGCTTTAGGAATGTGATCTAATGGTTTTTAGCAAGGCAGAGGGAGTGGGGGAGAAGGGCAAGGCCTGCCAGAGCCATGTTTGCCAAGCTTGGTCTGGCTAGAGACCCTTCATACACGACGACATGACTGTGCTTGATGCCATGAACTCTGCTTCAAAATGGCTGCATTGGTCTGTGCTATCAATGTAATTCACCGCACCAGGAGCTGTTAGGACAAAACGGGATCTCGGACAAGATCTCACCGTAAAGGCCAGCCTTGGGCAGGAAGCTCAGCCAACTCCCTCCTCTCACCCATGCATTTACATATATGGATGAAAAAAACCTGCAGACAGAACTGTTCAAAGGCATTTTACATGTGAAACCCGTCCTGCCCAATCTCCCATCAGTATTCCAACATCGCGTGGATGACTGATGTCTAGGCAGCACAGGCATTTGATAGGAGAAACAATTTGCACGTGAGAGAAGATGTGTTTAGAACTCTGTGTAGTCATTGTACCATTTTAACAGGATTCTGTTTTTGTTTTTTGATTTTTTTCAGGATAGGGTTTCTCTGTGTAGAGGATTCTGAACACCTATAAGCTTTTGGTGTGTAGAGAGTGCCTGAACTCTGTTCCCCATGGATCCTGAGGTACCATTTGTATTTAATCCAGAATCTATGTCTTTCTTAACCCCTTTGCAATTCTGACCCCCATGTTGAATTCTGTTCCCAAGCTGATGTCTTTTTTTTTTTTTTTTTTTTTTTTTTTTTAATGGTTTTTCGAGACAGGGTTTCTCTGTGTAACCCTGGCTGTCCCGGAACTCACTTTATAGACCAGGCTGGACTTGAACTCACAGAGATTCGCCCGCCTCTGCCTCCCAAGGCTGGGATTAAAGGCGTGTGCCACCACCACTGGGCCACTGATGTCGTTTTTAAATCAAACTCACTGTGTGACTGGACTGGAATGACATTCCTCTCGACTTGTGTTTTATTTGGGGATTACAGGTGTATGTCACCATGTTGGCTATCTCTATGTCTGCATCAACCATCTTCTCGCTAGAATCACCCACTTTCCCTAGAATTACCCACTTTCCCTAGAATCACCCACTTTCCCTAGAAGTACCCACTTTGCACACAAGTGTGAAAGGAACTTCCCAACTGTAGTGAGGAAAGAGAGAGGATATCATACACTGATCAAGAACAAGTAGACGGGGTGACTTTTCTTGGAGCTGAAGGAGTTGGAGATCTCACACAGATACTCCCCTGCATCCTCCAGCCTGAGGGGAGCTATGGTGAGCCTGTGCTTTTCAGGGGACAGCGTCATCCTCCTGCTGAAATCCAGGGTCTTGTTATTGAAGATCCAGCTGACGTCAACTCCCGAGTAGGGTGACATGCAAGTGAGAATTGCAGCGTTCTGTCTCCCCACTCTAGTGGTCTTGACTTGGATGGTGGGCTGTGTCACAATCTCTGTGTAGAAGAAACAGAAGAGACCAAATGAGAGATTCAGCGACAGAGATCTCAGCCAGCCCCTCCGGGCTCCATGCGCACCTCATAAGGTTTTTTCAATAGGGAATTCAGGGCCGAGGCTACAGCCAGACATCTTGTGTTTGAGACCTGCCACCCATGGCCTGTGTGACCCTGATTCAGCCACTGGATCTCTGTTTCCCTATAATAGGACACATGGCGAGTGATCATTGCCTTGTCTGTGAGTTAATCTTAAACAAGGACCTGACCTTGGGATGGGGGAGCTACCCAAATCAGGGTCATCTATTACCATTTGCCTGGGATTTCTCTGGGATGGACCCCTGAGGATGAGCTGTTGCCATGGGCACCTGCACAGCTTTGAGAACAGCTGGCTGATGGCCTGGGCACCCATCTCGCTCTGCTCTGTATGCTGTTCTCAGGGGACCCAGCTTACATGTGGCTGTTATGGTAGTGGGCGGGCTGCTTACACAAGCCAGTAAAGGCTTGGGCCCTGTCAGCCCTAATAGGAAGTCCAATCCCAGCCCTGGAGAGAAGGTCTCCAGGGTCACCTGGGGTGGATTCTGAGACAGAGGTCTGTCTGGAGTCGGGGCTTCCTGGTGCTCTCGTCTGTGTGAGGATCCCATGTTTTCCTCAGCCATGCCCTGCCTGGGCTTCTCAGGGTCCTTCTCTGGGTCATGTTCATAATGACAGTTCCAAGAGTCTTGCCCGAGGCTAATGTCCTTAGCTGAGTTACCTGTTGCACATCCTCCCCTCTGCAGGACAGATTTGGGTGATGGTTTAACTCTCCCATGTGTGTCCTGCACTCAATGCTCAAACCCCAATGAGGGGACCCAAGGCAGAGAGGAGGCGGGCACAGGGCAGCCCTGACATTGCTGTGTGTTAAGTGGAATGATCTCCACCCAGCACCCACAGGTCACAGAGAGTCACTTACTGTACACCTGGAGGTAGACATGTGTTATTTCACATTGGTAATATGTTCCAAAGGTTTCTAGGGTGTAGATCCCCGTGTCTTCCTGGGTGACATTCTGGAGCAGCAGGGATCCGTTGGTGTACACCCTCTCCCTACCACTGTATTTACGCCCCCATTTAAGTGATTGAGAGGCTGTTTCATAATGTGCAATTTTAAATTCTTCAAAGGCGCGTTTGCCTTTATACCAGAAAAAGGCCTGAAGCTTCTCTGCCTGGTTATCAACACGTAGAAGAACATTTCCCCCTTCAGGAAGAGAGGGCGGTACAGCCTCAATAGATGGGTGGGCCACGGCGTTTGAGGTCCAGCAGGCTAAAAGGGAGGCTAGAAGAAAAGCGAGAACACCCATCAATCTTGGGTCCGTGTGTCCTGTGCATGTGTGCCCATCACTCAGCCTTGGTATGTGGGTTGGGGTACGTCCACATACCAAGGCTGAGTGATGAGCACACATGCAAGGCAAGAAAGCCACATAAACCCCATTCCCACAGTGCCTCTGAAGCTGCGTCCTCTGCATGCAACTCTTTCCTCAGTTGCATGGCTCCCCCCTCATTGTCCTCACATCTCTGTTCACTCTTGGGAGTATTTTGGGGGATGGGAGGTGCCTACCCTGACCTCCTTCTCTGGAGACCCCAGGTCACACATTCCTTATTTTCTTGCTCTGGTCCCTTTGCGTTTGCAGCCAACCCCTGACTGAACCTTCTGGAAGCCTTTGATTCTCTGTCTCCCCTCCATTAGCGTGCTGGCCCTGCCGGGACTAGGGACTCAGTGGTGAAGAGTTGCTCTTACTGAGGACCTGGGTTCAGTCCCCAGCACCCACATGGCTTCTCACAGCTGTCTGTAACTCCAGTCCCAGGGGATCCAATGTCGTCGTTGTCGTGTAACCTCCTCTAGCACGACACCCAGGGAGTGGCACAGACAGACATTCAGGCAAAAGAGCACATGCCAAAAATAAAAATAAGTGAAGCCTCAGAACAAAGGCCCATGGAGTCTGCTCTCTGTGGGAGGCCAGGTGCCTGGGAAGGGCTTGAACACCTGTGGATGAGAGGATGAAGGAATGAATGTGACCAGGGCCTGGGTACCCAAGTGGTTTGTTTTTTACAAACTCCTCGTTTTGGGAGCTGATGAGTGTTTAATGCCATGGGTTGGTTTATATTTTTCCCATTTATTTATATATTTGCTCAAGGGGGGGGGGGCGAGGGAGGTGAGAGAGGGAGAGCAATTTCACAAAGCCTAATTGCAATTCCAGACCAGGTCCATTATTTGGCCGTGGTCACCCTATGAAGTGGGGGAGGCTGAGGTCTCCCGGCAGCAGAAAATGGAGCCAGCTTTGCCTTTTTCTCCAGGGAGAATGCTGCTTTGTGTGAACCAGTCCTCCTGGGGCAGATAAGGAATATTCAGACAGGAGGCGTGAGAGCCAAGGAGACCACGGACTCCTTAGCTTCTAACGTGATCACCTCTCTGATAGCCATCTGGATCTTTATATCCACAGGGCTCTGCTGAATTCAGATGGCTGAGCCAGTTCATCAAATGCAGCCCAACAGGCTACCAGAGGCCTGGCTGACACTGTCCTGATGTGACGGTACTGCTACCAGCCACTCACCAGCAACCTGCAGTCAACTGAGCAACACAAAATGCCATCCAGCTTGCAGAAGCCTGAAGAGTTTGTGTCCAAGCCTCCATGGCCCTCTTCTGGAGAAGGCGTCTTAGCTGCCCTTCCCCCACACCTCCCCAAGTCCTCTAGTTTCCTTCTCCAAAGTGTCTTGAGACAACTTAACACACTCCCCTATCTCCCCAGATAGAGTTGTAAGCCCCTGGAGGCACACGAGTGGCCAGGCCCCTCTCCCAAGGACCTCTAACAGGTTCCTCCCACAGAACACTCTAATTGCCCTAACAGCTGGACCCTGACCCCATCCTACAGGATAAAAAGCCCAGTCTTTAGACATGAAATCCCACCAATCTCCACCCTGGAAAGCTCCACAGTGAGAAGTTCTACCCCCTTCCCAAGAAACTCTATATAAGCCCTGTATCCTGTTCAGTTTGCTGCTTTTTCTCACCGGAGCAGAGGCAGCCACTCTCTTGGTTTTTTTCCCTCCTAATGAATCTCTTGTGTGAGGTTCGTTGTGCAGTGTGACTTTGTGGTATTCCTTGGCTCCCGGCTGCCAGGCTACCTTTCCATCTGAGCTGTAATGCTGACAGATGTGATCTTTTCCATGCTGTACTCTGCCACGCCCCGTGACAGCCTGTAAATCTTGTGTCCTCAAGGAAAGATCTTTTACCTGTATCCACCATCACACGTCAGACCTTCACACTAACGACAGGAAAACACAGCTCTCATGTCACAGGGGAGAAGAGAGAGATCGAGTGACCGTAAGGCCAGAAACACAGATTTAGATTTAGTAGTTCCAGTCAGTACGTCAGGCTTTGTAGGCACAGCTTCCTTCCAGGAACTCCCCTCCACAGTACCCCCCTGCTCAAGCTTCACACTGGTGCACAGGGAGTCCATATTATAATACAATGTCCCTGTCAGTTACGTGGTTCCTAGCAACTGATGTAGATGAGGCTGGACAGCAGACAGGGCAGCAGTCTTCAGGAGAGGGCAAGAGCTGGTAAAGCCATTAAGGAACACAGCCTGGGTCTATCAAAACTGTTAGTTCTCAGGATCTCAATCTTATTTCTTTATCTTTTACCTTTTCCTTTCTTTTTTGTCCTTCCTTCCTTCTTTCTTTCCTTCCTTCCCTCTCTCCTTCCTTCCTTCTTTTTTGTTTGTTTTTGCTTTTTTTTTTTTTTCCAGTTAGGGTTAGTCTGTGTAACAGCCCTGACTGTCCTGGAACTTTCTCCGTAGAAGAGGCTGGCCTTGAACTCACAGAGATCTGCCTGCCTTTGCCTCCTAAATGCTAGGATTAAAGGCATGCACCACCACTGCCCAGTTCTCACTTTTTCTTTTTCTTTCTTTCTGTCTTCCCTCTCTCACAGAACTTTCTGTGGAATGTGGCGACATCAGTATGAAAGTATCTCTTGCATTCTATGAGGCTATAACTTACGTTGGAACCTCACAACCAAGGTAGTAATACACCTTGAGGCCACTTAAGACTTACCAGTGGTTCTCAACCTATGGGTTGTTATCGCCTTGGGGGCTGCATATCAGATATCCTGCAGGTCAGTTGTTTACATAATGGTTCACAACAGTAGCAAAATTGCAGTTATGAAGTAGCAATGAGATAATTTTTTCTTTTTTTCTTTCTTTCTTTCTTTCTTTCTTTTTTTTTTTTTTTTTTTTGGTTTTTCGAGATAGGGTTTCTCTGTGTAGCTTTGGCTTTGTGCCTTTCCTGGATCTCTCTCTGTGGACCAGGCTGGCCTCGAACTCACAGAGATCCGCCTGCCTCTGCCTCCTGAGTGCTGGGATTAAAGGCATGTGCCACCATCGCCCAGCTGAGATAATTTTTTCGTCGGGGGTGGGGGTTCCTACAACATGAGGAACTGTATTAAAGGGTCACAGCATTAGGAAGGTTGAGAGCCACTGCTTAAGATTGATATTCTCAATCAGCATTCAGCCATTTGTTCAACCTGCCTTTAAGAGAACAAAGTAACAACCAAATCTCACTTGCCTTGGCTTCCCCAGCCTAAGCTAATGCATAGCTGTAATCTTACATTATATGCTCTTCCTTGCCCTGACCCAGGAGTGATGCACCTGTGTATCTAAGGATGGAGTGGTCGTCATTTGTTGAAAACATCTAATAGCTTGAGCAACCTCGTAGACTATAAATATCCACCATAAATGCTGGAAACAGCATGGATGTAGTGATGTTTGCAGTGGACACTTGCTTTTCTAAGTACTTCAGAAATAAGTTGGAGGAAATAACTTGATCCCTTATAATATTCTGCAGAAGATTTCTGTAACGTGTCCATCTTTCCTTCCATGTTGGATGCTTTCTGTGCTGGTCAATAATTGAGAGAGCAAAGGTCATTGTTCGGGACAGACAGATTCCCAAGATAGATAAGATAGACAGCATTCAGGCAGCCAGGGGGGACACAGATTCAGACTTACACAACAGATAGGTTACAGACAGGCCAGTAACCACCAGCTAGCTACAGAAGGTTACAGAGAGGCCAGCAACCACCAGCTACAGAGGGACAAGGGCTGGGACAGGGGAGAATTCTGGTTTGGGATGGATCTTACTCAAGCCAAGCAGGAAGGACGTCTCTGGTGTCGTTCGTGGGACATTGATGGGTGCTGGTAACTCTGAGTTTATTGCGACTATGTTTAACAGACTCAGTAGAACAGGTTATTATATCTCAAATTAAAATCATGAAGAACACTGGCCTAATGGAGTAATGCTAACAGATGAAAGGAACAACTCACATTTACATATTTACAAGTCTAGATTGATCGTATGATTATCCTGTATTTACAGTTTTGTGGATGTTAGGAAATATCTATTCCATTTTGGAGTATTTAAGCAAATCTGCCATCTTTTCCTGTTAGTTTTTCCTTTGTCCAGTGTGACCTTCAGCTATAAACATCAGCACATGAAGATGGATCAGGAGGAGCCCCGGGAATGTCAGTCCTGAGGGGACAGAGGCATAGCTCCACCTTGTCAGCAGCAGCCACCCGAGGAGTCCCCTAAGCTTTGGGGAGCTGGACTGAGGCCAAACCAGGCTTCACAGGTTAAGTGCTAAAGGCAATTTTAGGATTGGCTGAGGAATAAAGACATTTTCACCTCAAGCATTAAAAAATAAAAAATACAAAAAAGAAAAAGAGCAGGCTGTGGTAGGTCAGTGTGAGGAAGCTTCCTGAAGACAAGGGCTCTTTAAACACCGACATTTCCACACAGCGTGGACTCTGTATCTCTTTTGCTTTATCTTTAAACGGGCTGTGATGTTTCCCTTTTATACTGAATTTTACTGTTTGGAGATTCAGAAGAAGGAGGCACTGTCAGAAAGAGAGGAGAGTAAGAAGGTAGCCCAGGAATCTATCTTCACACTGCTTCGGCACCTACTTTTAAAAATTGAATTTGGCTAGGCAGTGGTGGCACATGCCCATAATCCCAGCACCCAGGAGGCAGACGCAGGGGGATCTCTGTGAGTTCAAGGCCAGCCTGGTCTACAGAGCGAGTTCCAGGACAGGTTCCAAAAAAAAAAAAAAGAAAGAAAGAAAGAAAAAAATTGATTTTTATATTCATTTTTAGTATATCCTCACATGCAGTTTTCATAGTTCTTGCTACTTTGTCAATTGCCAATTTCATAATTTCTTTTTTGTGTTTTCTTCCGGATACAGGGTTTCTTTGTGTAGCCTTGGATGTTCTGGAAATCACTCTGTAGACAGGCTGGCCTTGAACTCAAGAGATCCGCCTGCCTCTGCTTGCTGAATGCTGGGATCAAAAGGTGTGGGCCACCATCTCCAGCTATAATTTCTTTTTTATGTTATTTACACTGTAACAAAAGTGGGCAGCCTACTTGTTACTGTTAAAATATTTTTAATTGCCAGTGACAGCTAGCTAATTGCACTAAGTCAACCAATTTAGAGGTAGTCAATGTGTGGAAGGGACTTATTTTTTTCTTTATTCCTCCAAGGTCTTGTCTCACATTGTTTTAAAGGTTCCCTTTCCCTCCAATGTCTCCCACAAACACATCCCTTTCTCCTGACACTCTTTCTACAATGTTCTCTTGCCTAGAGATCCAAGTGACCCCGATATGCAGAGCCAAGGTCCTGATCCACCCCTACCACACCCTTGACCGATTACAATCCACAGAGTCTGCACCCTCCACTAGCAGACCTACCTCCACCAACCTCTGGTAAGAAACACTCCTCATGAGCATGGTGACCCCTTTCTGGACCCCACTGGCCAGTACTCAGAGAAAATACAGCAGGCAATAGTGATTCACGTTGAAGAAAGTATAATCTGGCAACCCCCACCTCACCACCCACCGGCCCCCAACACTTCCGGTTCCGGGAGCTTCCTTCAGCCCAGCCTCTCTCTGTTCCTCCCCGTACCCTCTGGGACTCAAGCAGAGAGTGCGTCTCCCCTCAGGGCCTTTCCCGCTCTGAGACCCGCCACTCTCAGGACCCATCTCACCTGTGAGCAGGAGCCCTTTGCAGAAGAGTAGAGAGAGGGGCGCCATGGTCTCTGTGCCTGCTTGCCTCAGCTCCAGCTCTGCCTCACACCTGTGCTCTTCTTATTCCTCCACACCCGAGCCCCATGGGAGCCCCTCCCAGGGTCACAAGGCTGTGGGTCATGTTGTGTCTCATCCCAGTCTACTGCTGCTACTGGTCCCTTCCAGGCTCTCCCTCCCTTCCCCCACCTCTCTTTCTCTCAGTCTTTAAAGTATTTTTAAATGAGTTTACATTTCTTACTTCTCAACTGATAGATTAAAGCCCACAGACAGATATGATTATACTTCTGGAAGTCTGAAGTCCAAAATGAGTAACTAGTCCCGAAATCAAGGCATCTTCAGGATTACAAAAAAAAAAAAAAAAGTCATAGAGGTTGAAGGCTGAAATCATCTCTACCAAATGTAGCTACTGGAGATGTCTTCAAACATTTTGTCTTAACATTTTGGTTTTTGGTTCTGTTGTTTCTCTTTGTTTGTATGTTTGATACAGGGTCTCATTTTATATCTCTGGCTGCTTGGAACTCACTATGTAGATCAAGCAGGACTTAACTCAAGCAGCTAATGTCTAGGAGGTATTAATGGGGCACTTGGCTTGTTTATTTTATTTCATTTATATTTTTTGGTTTTTTGAGACAGGCATTCTCTGTGTAGCCCTGGTTGACCTGGAACTTGCCCTGTAGACCAGGCTGGTCTCAAACTCACAGAGATCCTCCTGCCTCTGCCTCCTGAGTGCTGGGATTAAAGGCATTCACCACCACTGCCTAGCATTTTGTTTT